AACTCTTCCTCAGTCATACCACCCTGTATAAAATGGCACATGTACGCCCAGTGGTATTCTCATCCCTCTTTCCTGCTCCATTTTCTTCATGGCATGTAACACCACCTGACGTAGTGTGTGTGTGTGTGTGTGTGTGTGTCTGCTGTCCATCTGTCTCTTTCCACTAGCACGTAAGCTGCTGAGGGCAGGGGCTTGTTCACCTCTGTATTCCCATCACCTGGAGCACATCAGCCCTTCCTGTCCCCTTTGAGATCTTATTCTGTAGTTCCCTCTACTGTCTAAGTTTTGTCTTCCTTCTCTATTGGATAATTTCTTGTCATCAGTAAGCATTTTCAGTTCTTTCTCCTCATCAAAAACAAACACAAACAACCTGTCTTCAGCTCTGTACGTTCTGATTATCAAGACATTGGTTTCTATGCTTCCTTTCAAGTTTCTGGAAAGAGTTGATGTGTGCTTACCCCCTCCCCCTCCCTCTCTGGTTTCTGCCTTGATCCTCTGTACCAAGGCTTCCATCTTGGTGTGCTGGCATGACTGCTTCTGGGGAGGTTTCCAGGATGCTCTGACTGTGAGAAGTAAATATGCCTTGTTTTGTACCTTTTCTTACCTTACTTTTCTGTGGTATTGTACTGTGCTGATTTTATTTTCCTCCTGTAATTCTCCTTTCAGCCACTTTGAGGTCCTCTTCTGAAGTCTTTTCCTATTCCTCCTGACCGGTGATTTTTGCTTGTTCCTCCTCTGCCCCTGCCATTAGGAGTGTCCCTTAAGGCTCTGTCTTTAGCTCTCTCTATGGCTTACTGTGAATCCTTCCCAGCATGACTGTGTCTATCCCATGCTTTTTTTTTTTTTTTTTTAAGATTTTATTTATGTATTTGACACAGAGAGACACAGTGAGAGAGGGAACACAAGCAGGGGGAGTAGGAAAGGGAGAAGCAGGCATTGTGCCCATTGAGCAGGGAGCCCGATGCGGGGTTCAATCCCAGGATCCTGGGATCATGACCTGAGCTGAAGGCAGATGCTTAATGACTGACCCACCCAGGTGCCCCATCCCATGCTTTTAACTACTGCTTTTGCACTCCTGACTCCCAAATCTCTTTTTTAAAAAATATTTTATTAATTTGGATGGCAGAGGGCAGAGATTGTATGGAGGGAGGGGCAGAAGGAGAGAGAGAATCTCAAGCAGACTCTGTGCTGAGCATAGCCTGACACGGGGCTCAGTCTCATGACCCTGTGATCATGACCTGAACTGAAATCAAGAGGACGCTTACCCAAATCTATCTTTCGTCCAGATTTTTCTCTTGTGTTTCAGGCCTGTATTTCCATCCCTCTCCTGGACCTGTCCTACTTGATTTCCCATGTCCCATATTCAAAAGCATACACAGTATGCTTGGAACGACATAGCCTAACAGTAGCAATTGCTTCTCCACAGCCGCCCACTTTGCTCAGTGGCCCACCTGGTCATGACAGGCACTCTTGTGAGTCACCTCAGCTGCTCTCTGTGTTTGAATGCCGCCATGTCTGAGGGCACCAGCTTCTCTCTCACACGGCTCCCATGAAGCCGTAATCTGGTCTCGGTTCTCATTGCCCCTGCCACAGTTTAGATGTCCCTCCTTCCCCCCTTTATAGCACAGTCCTTAAAGCATGTACTCTGAAGCCAGACAGCATGGGTTCTGATTTTGGATGTGCCACGGATCACTTATGTGACTTTGGTCCGTGCCTCAGTTCCCTCATTGGTAAAATAGGGATAACAAGTCATGGTGAGGATGAAATGTGTTAACAAATATCGAGTGTTGAAAATAATGGCCAACACTGTTCTGGCTGACCTCTCTATCCCTGGTCTGTTCTTCTAAAGTGTTTTGACTTGTGCTTACTTCGGCAGCATATATACTAAAGTGTTTTCGACTCTGCTGCAACGTCAGCTTTCAGAAATGGACATCTGACCATATCATTCTCTTTTTAAGATCTCTGTGGCTTCTGATGGTCCGACCACCTTCTGTCCAGCTCGTCTCCATTGTCCCTTTCCCCTCACACACTGCTACAGCTATATTCACTAATCAGCAGTTTTCCAAAGAAGATGTGATCGTGCATGCCTTGGCATCTTTGTACATGCTGTTTCTTCTGCTCGAAGTGTCCTTCCTTACCAGTTTTATCTGTGAATCTTCAGCAATCCTTCAAGACCGTGTTTATTTTTTACATTCACTTCCCACTTTAAAAAAAAAAAAAAAGTATTTATTTGAGAGAGAGAGAGTGTGTGTGCGAGTCGGGGGAATGGCAAAGGGCGAGAACCTCAGGCAGACTCCCCCACCAAGCACATAGCACGACTCGGGCCTCGAACTCACAACCCATGAGATCATGACCTGAGCTGAAACCACGAGTCGGATGCCCAGCTGACTGAATCACCCAGGCGCTCCTCACTTGTCACTTTTTAACTAGTCACATCCATCAATTAAGCAGTCATAGCCAGCAGTTACTGAAACCCAAGTATAATGGTGTTCTGGAAGATAGAAGAAAATATAACATGTTCTTCAGGGGCATGCAGTCTAGTAGGGGAACAGGACAGAGAGATGTACAGCAGCAAGGGACTGTCCCTGAGAATGCTAAGTGGATCGGCATTCCAGAGAAGGACAGAATCACCGCTCACAGATACAGGGGAGTGCAGGGTGTTAGGGTGGTTAGAAAGGCTTCATGGAAGAGTTGCGGTTTGAGGATGGTAAGATCTGCACAGGTGGAGGGAGGGGGTAGATCCTGTGGCTCAGGGAACAGAAGGCACAGAGGTAGCAGTTGTCAAGCTGAGTGGAAGAAGCCTGATGAGAAGACATGTGCGTTGAGTGCCAAGGTCATAAGCCACGCAGAGTCACGGGGGTCTCGAGAGCCCAGAGCATCTTGAGGGATGAGTGTGTTCTCATGTTCTACCCTGTGCCAGGCCACACTGGAGCCTGATGCAAAGGGAGAACTCAGCAACAACCAATCTCATCTTCATTCAAAATTTTGATATTCTGTTCATCATGGGGTTTTTTTGGCATTAATTTTGATTTTTTTAAAATATTGCATTAAAACATGATTTATTTTGGTTACTGCATTTTTTGGCACTCCCTTAAATTTTGTGCCCGAGGTCATTTCCTCATTTACTTCATTCAGCCCTAGTCCCTGCCCTGTGTTCTGGTTCTGAAGTTTGGTGGAGGGGACATGGGTATTTACTTTATTGTTATTATTATTAATTATGGTTTATTCATTTTGTACGTGTTCTTTGATTAGTAGACAGTATTTCGTAAAAAGCAATTAAGGTAAATTAGAATTTTAAGAAGATTAATTTGGAACTTTGGAGCCTGAAAACCATGAAAAGGAAAATAATAATTTGTGCTTCCAAGTCAATTTCTGGAGGACAATAACTTCTTCTTGCTGCAGTGCATGCAGTGCAAGCAAAAGGTTTTGTTTTGCTCACATCTAAATGGGGGAAGGATCACTGGAGGGTCGGGGTATTAGAGGCTTTTGTCCACTTGGAGACAGACATTAAGCAACTGAGTTGCTGTAGCCAGAATGTTCTGCCCAAGGCAAGCTCCCACAAATGGGCCACAAGGGCTAGACTTGGCCCACATCTCACATAAAGCAAACCTGTCTCGCCCTGCTCAAGGAGCAGCTGCTCTCTGGTCACTGTGCTTACACTGTGGGCCATCACACAGGGGCCATGGCCCAAGAAGCAGTGGAAGATTCATGAACTCTCTAAACTTCTCAGGGCTACTTGTATCCAGGAAAGAGGTGATGTTTGACACAAAGAGTATTACTAGTACATCTAAAAACGTGAAGTCTTTTGTTCATTAGCACACTCGTGACTCATGGAAGATGATTTGGCACCAGGAAGTCAATGAGCATCGGCACAAATCTCAGAGAAGGCTGAGGGGAAGGTGGAAAGGGGCAAGCTGCCCCCAAGAGTGCCACCAGGCACACTGCCCTGTCATTTGATGGGGACCGTCCACATATCCAGCATGAGCTGCTTCAGTCTCATGGTAGACATTCTGGCATGATATGGAGAAGCCACAGGCTGCATTTTACCATCAGAGGAGTGGGTGGTCAGAGAAGATGGCTCCTTCCTGAGGCCCCAGACCATGATCTGCTCGACTCACCCCTGCTGGGTTGCTGACCCCTCTTGTTGGCACAGCCAGCAAAGTTGTTCTTCAGAACTAAAGGAGAAATCAAAGAGTTTCCCAGACAATCAAAAGCTGACGGAGTTCATCACCACCACAATGGCCATACAAGAAATGGTAAAGGGAATTCTTCAGGCTCTTGAACAAAACACCTGAACAGGATGAAAACTTCTGTGCAAGAACTGCTTCTGGGAGAAGTTCTAGAGTGAATGACTGTCGTCAAGCCAGAACTCAGCCACTGCAGAACCCTTACTGCTTAGAGCTACCTGGAGTCCACATGGGGAGGAATCACGCAGCCTGTGGATTTGCCTATCGTTGTCTTCATCGGTACTCCACGTCAGCCTCTGTGAAACACTGGGGTAGTGTCCAAGGATCTTCTCAGGCTCCTTCCCAGGGAGCAAATGTCTTAGAATCATACCAAACCTCCTTTGAGCCTGGCAGAAACATACCGACCACATGGTAGCTCTAGGTTCTCTGACTGGATGAAGCAATAAGGCACTTCCTTTGAGGCAACTCTATTGAGCCTGGCTTCTCGAGCCCTGTCGTGAGATATTCTAAGCTTCTGTGTTCCTTCAAAATCATGTTTTAACCTCCTGTGAAAACCTGGCCCTCTCCATGTACAGTTGATCCCTCCCTTCCCACTACCCACGATGGATTTCAGTGACTGGTTTCCATGACCGTCTGCTCCACAAGGCTGTGAACCCCGGGGAGGTGGTGGGAACTGTAGCCTTTCCTCTCCCTCCCTTCGTGCAGGGTCTTTACAGTGATTGACCCAGAATATATACTCTATAAACAGTGAAGCAGTAATCAGGGGTTCAGAGTGTACTGAGATTTTTATACTTCTTCCTTCAATTTCTTCAGGCTGCAAGAATTAGTCGATCGAGTGCTGGAACGCTTTCAGGCATCTGGACTAATAGTTAAAGAGTGGAATAGTGTGAAACTCCATGCGACGGTGATGAACACTTTATTCAGGAAGGACCCCAATGGTAAGTCCCGTATAGAACTGTAGCATAGTTTATGATCAGCAAGGCCTTGTGATATTTCTGGGGTTCAAACAAGACTGGCTACCCAAGACTCTCTGGTAATCTTCCTTTGAATCTCTAACTTGTTTTGATGAGCACAGTGGAAGTGGACAGGGAATGTATCTAGCGTGGGACCGTGACATTCCAGATCCTTGATTTCTGTTGCACATAGGGTTGGCAGATTTAGCGAAAAGAAATACAAGAGGCCCAGGTAAATTTTAGGTAAAGAGTGAAAAATTATTTTAGTATAAGTGTGTCCCCTGCAATACTTGGTGTCTTCTTGGAAAAAAGAAAGGAGAGAAGATTAGGTTAGTCCAGTGGTTCTCAACTACAGACAACTCTGCCCTGTGCACCCCTCCCCCCACCCCAGGACATTTGGTTGTCACACTTAGGGCATGTTGCTACTCCTGGCATCTAGTGGGAAGAGGCTGGGAATGCTGCTTATTAACTCTCTACAATGGACAGGCCAGCCTACCTTAACAAAGAAGTATCTAGAAATGTCAATATCACCAAGGTTGAGAAACCTGGTGTTAAGAGTAATAATGTTTCCTCTCATGGAATCTGAGCCTTATGTAAGAATGCCTTGCTTTAACCCTTCATTTGGGATGGTTACCTACATTTCAAAAAGGATTCTTCTTTTTTTTCCCATTGCCTTCCCCGCCCTACCCCCAAGTGAAAGCTTTTCCAGCACAGTCAGCATCATCTGATCAGGAGCCACATACTCAAATTACATGCAGCTTCTCCTTCTAAAACTTGCTTGAAATATACCAGCACCAAAAATCTCATGTTCAGGTTTTATTTCCTTTGTTTAGGACCTGACCTTGGTTTTAGGAAGTTTAGGTTGGAAGACGACTCCATCAGGACTTGAACCCATAAACTCTTTGTAGATTTATACTTTAGGACAGGTTGTGTGTCCCTTTTGTCAAAGTACAGTTGACCCTTAAACAACAGTTTGCACTGTGCCGGTCCACTTAAACAAGGAATTCTTTCAGTAACTACAGCATAGTACTATAAACGTATTTTCTGTTCCTTACAATTTTTTTTTAAAGACTTAATTTATTTATTTGATAGACAGAGATCATAAGTAGGCAGAGAGGCAGGCAGAGAGAGAGGAAGGGAAGCAGGCCCCCTACTGAGCAGAGAGCCCGATGGGTGTGGGGCTTGATCCCAGGACCTGAGCCAAAGGCAGAGGCTTGAACCCACTGAGCCACCCAGGCACCCCTGTTCCTTCCAGTTTTCTTTTTTCTTGGGACACCTGGATGGCTGTCAGTTAAACATCTGCCTTTGGCTCAGGTCATGATTCCTGAGTCCCAGGATCGAGCCCCACATTGAGCTCCCCACTCAGCGGGGAGTCTGACCTCCCCCTTCTTGTGCTCTCTCTCACTCTCACTCTCTCAAGTAAATAAAGTCAGGCAAAAAATATTTTCTTTTTTCTTGTTTACTTTATTGTAAGGATGCAGTATATAATACATATAATATACAAAATATGTATTAATTGGCTGGTTGTATCATCAATAAGGGTTTTGGCCAACAGTAGTTTGGTTTTAGGGAGTCAAAAGTTACACATGAACTTCATCTGCATGAGGGTTGGTGCCCCTAATCCCCATTGTTCAAGGGTCAGCTGTACATCTTTTTCTTTCTCTCAGACATGTGCCAAAGATCCCAACTGGAAGTCACTTGCCATTGTAGGACTAAGAGATATGTAGTTGTCCACATTTTAGTTATAATGTTAATGTTTTGTGATGTTAGATTATATTTTATTTAAGATTTTTCTAAATAAATCACTATTTTACCTTCAGGAGCACTGAGATCAAAATTGGTTCAAATGACTCAGTCAAAGCATATAGACTGTTGTTTGGGTACTTAATAGAATCCAAAACTCTATACTTGTTCTGATGCAATACTTTTTTTTTTTTGCATTTGGGTAGTAGTATTGTGGAAGAATATCTGGAATTTCGGAAAATATATTTTCTGGAATATTTCACATTTATATATGCATATATGTATGTATGTATGTATATTTATGTATGCTTGTATATCCATATACATTTATAGGTATCTTGTCCACTGGGGACATTTAAAGGAGTCTGTGGTATTTATTTTGTTCTGGGTGGTCAGTTTTAAGTTTGGAAGCATAGTTAGATCCTCTGAGATGATGTACTTTTTAAACATCTCTATGTAAAGACATAGTTCTAGAACTCTAGAATATACTCTCAATTCTTTGGTTCAGAAGACATATCGTATCCAGTATCATCCAGTAGAACTCCCTGTGATGATAGAAATATTCTCTACCTGTGATGTCCAGTATGGTAGCCACTATCCACATGTAGTTATTGAGCACTTAGAAGTTGCTACGAGGCTGAGAAAGTGAACTTTTCATTTTAATTAATGTAAATTATTTAAATTTAAATAATCACATGTGGCTAGAGGCTACTAATTTGGACAGTACAGGTATAGACAGTATTTTATTAGACATTTAATGCTATCAGCAATACATTCTGAAAATGCCCTAGTCCTTAAATCTTGCTTTAGAACTCTTACCATACTCCTTTATTAACCACATTTTGACATAGAAGAGTTGAATTATAAAGGAATCTGTATCTACTAAATTGTGTGGATCCAGATTTATATTCAGTTAGCACTAGAGCTCCATGTAAGAAAACATTCTAGTTCACAGTCTAGTTATCTTTTCCTACTAGAGATAGTTTGAATATAACACCTTTATTGAGATATAATTCACATACTGTATGATTCACTCATTTAAAATACATAATTCAAGGGCGCCTGGGTGGCTCAGTTGGTTAAGCATCCAACTCTTGATTTTGACTCAGGTCATGATCTAAGGGTTGTGAGATTGAGCCCCCCCATGGGGCCCTGCACCGGGCATGGAGGCTACCTGAGATTCTCTCTCCTTCTACACCCCCTACCCCCCAAAACCCATTTCAATCTTCAGATATCATTACTGTTTTTTTTTTTTCTTTTTCTTTTTTTTTAAGTAGGCTCCAACACGGGGCTTGAACTCAGGACCCTGAGATCAAGACCTGAGCCGAGATCAAGGGTTGGACACTTAACTGACCAAGCCACCCAGGTGCTCCTCATTACTGCTTTGTAATTGATATTTGCTTAGTATGAATTTAAAGTTTCACATCACTTCTTGGGGCACCGGCATGTGGGTGGTGCAGTCAGTTGAGCATCCGACTCTTGGTTTCTGTTCAGCTCCTGATCTCAGGGTCATGAGATCGAGCCCCACTTTGGACTCTGTGCTCAGTGTGGAGTCTGCTTGGAATTCTCTCTCCCTCTCCCTCTGCCCCCCACCCCGCCCCAGGGGCACATGCGTGTGCATGTTCTCTCTGTCTCTCTAAATTAAATAAATATATCTTTAAAGTTTCACATCTCCTCTTAACAGGGGACCGGTTTTTAATTTGGGAAATATACATGATTTTGGGATCTTTGATTAAGAGAGTACTTTTTCATTAGAAGTTACCAAAGTGTAATTCCGGTGGACTAGTTAACATATGTTATGCTCATGGAGTTACTGACCTGGACATATTTTACCAATTCTGACTTGGTAGTCTCCATATCTATATGTAATGAAAGAGCATATTCCGGAATTGGAAGTACAGATATTTTTGAGGGTCTCTTGGTGGGAAGGAAAGGGGTTGATGTTTTAGAAAATATTCTGAGGGTTAAATAATTCTTAAGGACGCTTTGAATTTTCTATATCTTAGGTTCTTCTCTGGTTGAATTTTTACTTGAAAAGGACATAGAATATGGTGTTTCACTCTTTCTTACCTGCCATCCCTCTCCTTTGAAATCCTTTTTCCTGCTATACTTTACGGATGTCTTTTGGGATTAGCAAGCTAAATTAACACAAGGTCATAGATTCACTGCATTTCTGTGTAGAATGTTTGTAAAGACACCTTTGATTGCAACTGAAAGGGGCTCTCTCATTTTGGGGGAGTCCTTAAACCGGTCCACTTAATGTTGGTTGCAACCCAAATTAATGTTGCCAGCATTTTTGACTACCAAATGTGTGAATTAAATATATTTACATATTTAAAAATGCATATAGCTTATACAAAATCTTGGGTTTTTAGACCGCAGGGAACCTTTGGAGATCACCTAGTCTTAACCTGGAACTGCGTAAGTGAACTGAAGTCCATGGAGGAGACATAATTTACCTAATAATATGGCTCATTTTACATGCACAAACATACCCCCCACATCTTCTTTATCCATTCATCTATCGATGGACACTTAGGTTGCTTCCATATCTTGGCTATTGTAAATACTGTTGCAATAAACATAGGGGTACATATATCTTTTGGAATTAGTGTTTCCATTTTCTTTGAAAACAGAAGTGGAATTACAGGATTATGTGGTATTTCTATTTTACTTTTCTTTAAGGAACCTCCATACTGTTGCTCCAGTTTGTGTTCCCACCAACAGGGCATGGGGGTTCCTTTTTCTCTGTGTCCTTGCCAACACTTGTTATTTCTTGTCTTTCTGATGAATGGGTAAAGAAGATGTGTGTGGTGGTGTGTGTACATGTGTATACATACACAGTGGACTACAACTCAGCTATAAAAAAGAATGAACTTTGCCGCTTGTGACAACATGGATAGACTAAGAGCATATTATGCAGAGTGAAATAAATCAGACAGAGAAAGACAAATACCAAATGATTGTATGTATATGTAGAATCTATACATTTTTTTAAAGTGTATTTGTTTATTATTAGAGAGAGTGCATAGAGGGAAAGGAGGAGGAGAAGCAGACTCCCTGCTGGGCAGAGAGCCTGACCTGGAGCTTGATCCCAGGACCCTGAGGTCATGACCTGAACCAAAGGCTTAACTGACTGAGCCACCCAGGCACCCCTTTGCTTCCATGTAGAATCTAAAAAAACAAACAAACAGAAGCACATTCATAAATATAGAGAACAAACTGGTGGTTGCCAGAGGGGACGTGGGGATGGGGTTGGCAAAATAGGTAAAGGGGATTAAGAGGTACAAATTTCCAGTTATAAAATAAATAAGTTACAGAGCTGTAAAGTACAGCATAGGGGATACAGCCAGTAATATTGTAATAACATTGCATGACAGATGGTGAGTGGCAAATGGTGGCTACAGTGAGTGATGTATAGAATTGTCAAATCACTGTGTTGTACACCTAAAATTAATATAACATTGTATGTCCACTATACTTTAAAAAAAAGAATATGGTTAATTACATAGGTAACATACCTTGAGTACTTGGACAGTGTTGAATGAATAAATGTGTACTGAATTAATGACCTCACTGAGACTGGACGCCAGGCCTCTTGACTCAGACTGATGTTTTCCCTCCTATTATGCCACAATCCCGGTAGTACATGAGGATTTTGCTTGTTGTACCTATAGAAACCCAAAAGAAAACAAATGTAAATAACCCAAGCATCTCTTCTAACATTATCTTTGAAATATTTACAGCTGAAGGCAGGTACAATCTCTATACAGCTGATGGCAAATACATCTTCAAGGAAAGAGAATCATTTGATGGGCGAAACATTTTAAAGGTCAGTATATAACAGGGTGAATTGGAAATCCTTTGGCATGTGTCCTAAGATAAGAGCAGAAAACAAGTCGTTCTCCTTTTAACAGTAAAATATATTTTTCTCATTCTTCTCATGAGGATCATTGATTCAAAGGTCTGGCAAAACACACACACACACACACACACACACACGTGTGTGTGTGTGTGTGTGTGTGTGTGTGTGTGTGTGTGTTAATGTCCTAAAGGAAATAAAATCTTTATTTTCCTAAAGGAAAATAAATCTTTTTGAATCTGCTAGGCTGTGATGTCTCTTAGAACCCTGACTACTTGAACTCATAGGAATACGTTGATTTTAACCTAGGGAGTTTTACTCTATATTTTACCTCTGTAGGACTAGGTCTGCATTTTTTTTAAGTTAAAAAGAATTATTTATTTTGTTCTAGTAGACTTTGCACCTATAGTCCCTCTCTAAAGTTCTTTTGTAATCTGTTTTCATTCAGGAATAGCCCATGTTCTGAAAAGTAGGTGGTCTCTGACTGTTGAGGCTTTGCTTCTTGAGTGTTAAATTAACCTATGAAATTTCCATAAAAAGGGCTTTTCAGGGTGGCATTTATCTTTCTCCTACAGACCACATTCTGTAACAACCACAATTTATGCCGTCTCTGTCAGGTTAGCATGTCATTGTGCCTCTGGGCAAACGGAAACAGAAGTTGATACAACGGAGAGGTTTTGGATGCTTCATTTCACTTGTTCTGTAATGATTTAGGTCATACATTTTCAAGGCCATACGTTTTTGGGAACTGGGAGGAGAGTGTGTGTATATAACTTCAGAATAATCTTTAGCTTTAAAAATGCTTTTTCTTTGTCCTTCCCCCCTCATCCTCTATTGCCTTATCCGGGTACTGGGCACTTTTCTTGCCAAATGCCTAGTGTGACCCCATTACCTTTAATTGATGACATCACTTCAGCAGCTGCAGAGTTCTTACTGCAGAGCCTGACATGGCAGTGACCAGATTCCCTCTTAGGCAGGCATTCAGGCTCCTACCTGGCAGAGCTATGTCAATTTCTTCTTTTCCTTGATACCTTTCCTCTTTTTTGAGTGGTTTTCTTGTTGTCAGAGTAACTGTGGTAGCTTTGGTTTGAGTGGCAAGCTGCTAATTACTTCAGCTGTAGTTTACTTATTTTCCCAGTCCCCAGCTTCAGTGTGATATGATTCTTTTTCCTCCGCCATCTCATTTCCTGGGGCTTTCCAATAATAGTGTTAATCATTTTGCTTTTTTGTTGTTGTTGTTAGTTTGATTAAGAAAAAAAGTAGAGGGACGCCTGGGTGGCTCAGTTGGTTAAGCAGCTGCCTTCGGCTCAGGTCATGATCCCAGCGTCCTGGGATCGAGTCCCACATCGGGCTCCTTGCTCAGCAGGGAGCCTGCTTCTCCCTCTGCCTCTGCCTGCCATTCTGTCTGCCTGTGCTTGCTCTCTCTCCCTCTCTCTCTCTCTGACAAATAAATAAATTAAAAAAATCTTAAAAAAAAAGAAAGAAAGAAAGAAAGTAGACCGAACAGGGAAAGAAATCTGTAGGAATGACTCAAGCCAACTTGATTCTTTTGGAATTAGGATTACAGCTGCAGAGGTGTGCGGATGAAAGTCAAGTGCGAGGTGCTGTGCCCTCTGGAAGAGGGAGGTGATGGCAGAGAGCATGTGCCGTGGCTGGAGAGCCAGTCTTCCAATTTAAAGATGCTTTGCCTCTAAGTCTTCCTCACCACCCCAGTGGTGACATGGATGTAGCTCCCTCTAGTGTTAACAAGGGCTTGCTATGTTGGTCGTACCCTTACTGGTTCATGTCTCCTAGGAGTTTTAAGAGCTGGGCTCAGCCAGGGACTTAAGACCATTTAATCCACAAGATCCAATGTGGTTAAAGCAACTTGCCAAAGGTCACAGCTAGTTAGTAGCCAAGTCTGAATTAACAGAAAGCTTCAAATCACAGGGTTAGAATTGTTTCTGCTGCCTCCCATAAAAATGCTCAGTGTTTAGGTAGAGATCCTTAGGTATTTGTAGTTGGGCATACCTGTTTGAAGTGTGATGAAATCTGATTAGAAATCATTCCATAAATGTTGGGGCAGTGGTGTGTGCCAGTTAGCCTAAAATCGTGGCTAATTAAGAATTAGACTTTGAATTGAATGCAGTACTAACACATCAACAGAAATACTTATGAGGGTGTACCATCTGCCAGACCGTGTGCCCTGCAGATAAAAGCAGCCATTATGATGCAGTCCCTGCCTTCTACAGGCTTCCTGTCTTTGAGGCATACAGACGGTTAATAGGCAATTACAGTACAGAACGATGGGCGTGAATTATGAGTATGGAGAAGTACCTTTGAACACAGATAGTTAGAATAAAGTGTCCTTTGATTCAGTGTCCAATATTTTACTTTTTAGTCATTAGCTGCAGAAAATGTAATCTTTCACCTATATTCAGTCAAGGGAATTCACTTTGAGAGTAAAGGTAAAACGTGGCCTCCCACCATTGCCTATGCCCAAACGCACAAGAGGTAATAATTGTGTCTGCGAAGTAGCTATAGTAGCCCACTTTTTGGAATTACCATGAATGAACATGCCTCTCTCAGAACATGAGAACCCACAGGCCCAGAAACCCTTGGGGAGAAAAAGATTCATAAAAACCAATGAATTATATATGGTTCTATGCCAGATAAGATTATTATGTTGAGAAGGAAAAAACATCAATTTCACTAACAAGATAGGAACTGACTTGGAGAAAACTGAGAGGTTAACTGCACTGGCTGTTCAGGGGCCCGAGCATATGTGTGTAGCATATTAACAGCTGCATAGGTCAAGGATCAGGAATGCTGGTGATGAGAAGCAACCTTGGAAAAAAATCAACTTCATCTACTATTCAAAGAGAAACAAAACGAGAAAGCAAGTCATTGCTCATTGCCGTAAGAATTTAATAAGTAACGGCCAATTGCTATTCTGCTCCATGAAGAGAATTGGTCCTTTTGGCTTGGTGTAATATTATGTGTTCTGGGTGCCTTAATAAGAAAGAGAAAAAGTCTTTAATGACTTTGGGAGGTAGAAGCCACATTTTTCTTTTTATGGCCCTTTCGAGAGTTGTTACCGCAGTAATAAACCAGCCTTGGGTTATTCCTAGCTAAAATAAGAATGTTCTTACCTTAAGAAGGACTTTGGAAGAACTGACAACTAAAGAACCACTGTACTGTGTTTTTTGAAACAGAAAAGGAACCTATTTAGTTACAGTGGGTTGTGAGGGAAGCCTGGCAGCTCTGAAAGGAGAATGTACAAGGGAAGAAGACGGCCAAACGCAGAGGGTAGTCACTGCTCAGAGAGTTTCTGTTTCTGATCTAAGAGATAAGAACAAAGATGTTTGTTCATCCCTGAGGCAGTTGTAAACTTGTGATTGGAGAAACCACGCTGACCTAGAGACATACTGCCAGAGATAACTGCCCCCTTGCAAGCAGACCGCCAGTGACTGCCAGCTTCGCAGAGAGAAGTGGTGTTAGTGGCAGTCTGTTGGGGGGCCTCTGAGCTGGCGTTAAGCCGCAGAATCACTCTGCCAGAACTGTGCTGTAGCACATGGAACGGGTACGGTATTACCTGTTCGAAAGCATGGCGTCTAACTGCAGAGTGAAGAGGAGATATCCGAGCCCGAGCTGGTGCTCACCAGAGGAGGTGGTGTTGAGCAAACAAAGGCACAGGTGATGTATTTGGGAAGGAATAGAAAGAAAGTGCTCTCTCTCGGTCCAGAATCAAAGGCCACCATGAAAGTGCCATTTCTTGAGCACCTGGGTGGCTCAGGGGGTTAAGCCACTGCCTTTGGCTCAGGTCATGATCTCAGGGTTCTGGGATCGAGGCCTGCTCTCTGCTCAGTAGGAAGCATGCTTCTCCCTTTCTCTCTGCCTGCCTCTCTGCCTACTTGTGATCTCTCTCTCTGTCAAATAAATAAATACAGTCTTAGAAAGAAAGTGCCATTTCTTTAGACACCTAAAAATTCTGGAAAATATAAACTAAGTAAAAAGGAGGTGGATTTGTGCCTTTTCCACTTTATATACAGGAATCGTTAAATTTAGAGAAAGAGGGAACCGTATTAAGTTTTTTTTTAAAGATTTATTTATTCATTTTGAGGGGTAGAGGAACAGAGGGAGAGGGACAGCGGAAGCCAACTCTCTGCTAAGTATGGAGCCCCAGTGTAGGCTAATCCTAGCACCCTAAGATCATGCCCTGAGCTGAAACCAAGAGTCCAATTCTTTTTAAAAAAAAATTTTTTTTAAAGATATTATTTATTTATTTGACACAGAGAGATCACAAGTAGGCAGAGAGGCAGGCAGAGAAAGAGGAGGAAGCAGGCTCCCTGCTGAGCAGAGAGCCCGATGTGGGGCTCGATCCCAGGACCCTGGGATCATGACCTGAGCCGAAGGCAGAGGCTTAACCCACTGAGCCACCCAGGCGCCCCCCAAGAGTCCAATTCTTAACCAACTGAGCCACCCAGGCTCCCTAAACTGTATTAATTTTTAATACTTTACTTTGAAACAGGTTTTATTTTTTTTTAAGATTTTATTTATTTATTTGACAGACAGAGATCACAAGTAGGCAGAGAGGCAGGCAGAGAGAGAGAGAGGGGGAAACAGGCACCCTGCTGAGCAGAGAGCCCGATGAGGGGCTTGATCCCAGGACCCTGGGATCATGACCGAGCCAAAGGCAGAGGCTTTAACCCACTGAGCCACCCAGGCGCCCCTGGAAATAGGTTTTAATCTATCTAGCCACATTGAGACTTTTCTTGAAAGATGTAAATGATAGTAACTCAAAAATTTCATTCATTTTTGCTTTTGTTCTATCTCTGCCCCTTAACATCTTTACAAAAGGACAGGTTGAATAAGTAAATTTAAATGAGATCTTTATTTAATTTGCTTAAGGAAGCTATTTAAAAATATGTACTATTTTATCTTTTTTGATGAAACATATACATAGAAAAGTACATGAAATACACACAAAC